CTAAAATACCAAAAAAGAGGTTTTCTCCAACTATAAGGTATTTTAGCTTGAGAATGAAGCTTTATATTCAAACCTGAAACTGAACAAACGGAACACCGACGCCTACAGCAGGTATTTATCCTTTTATGAGTAAATAACGTGATCTAGAGGCTAGAAATGTTTAAAAAATAGTATGTTGTGAAATTTTAACCGTACACAAAATGTTACAACCCCCATTTCCGTAAAACATGTAAGATTCAAAAGCTAAGTTGCAACTTGTTTCACAAAACCACATAAAATAACGCAAGATTAGATTTTTTAATATCTTGGTTACTTTTAAAAACTAGCACTTGACAAACCCAGCCCCATTGCTGTAAAAGCAACGATTCAAAAGTTATTGCAACCTTTGTAATTTACCTTATATTATAATGACACTCCCACCGCTTACCCATGAAATATTTACATCTGACAATTTTTGAAAGCTAGGTAATAAAACGATAAATACCTACGTTGCCTAAGGCCTAATAGGTTGTTGACAAGCTTATGGGAGAAATGTGTTGTAATATTACTGATGCCGTTATAAGCATTATTTCAGCATCACAGCCACAACCACTAGGGGCACAAGGAAATGTCCTGGCTTCATCTGCTACTATTGACTCGGGAAGTCAATATTATCTAGTTAACGATAATAACCATTAATAATGAATGGTATGCGCTTAGAAGTACACTGATAAAAGTTTGCTTTGCCAATGATCTCCATGTGAAACCTCCATCGATACTGTAACTGTATTCGCAACAGTTCACTAACCGAAGCGCCATACGCCACAGTTCGTCAAGTTACCGCTAGATGTCACTAGTAGAGTGCGCCACAGTTCGTCAAGTTACCGCTAGGTGTCACTAGTAGAGTGCGCCACAGTTCGGCAAGTTACCGCTAGATGTCACTAGATGTCACTTAAGAAAACCCTACTTGTGCGTGTTCATTTATCAATACATTTAATTGTATTAATTGCAACAAACGAGCTTAACTTGAAATAAACACAAAGTAAAACAAGTTATTTATCTAAACAGCGCAAACCTTTTCGCCTTTAAGCCGTAGTAGTTGAGTAAATGGCCTCTGTCTCCATTGACACTCGCGGGGAATTTCCGGGAGCTAATCTATGACCTCCCTACTTGGCTGAAAAAAGTTCAATGCTTCCTCCTAATCCTCCTCCATCTCGAATGTGAAAGTTGTGAAATACTATTTGAAAAGCCGAGAGTTGTGACTCGATGAGAGTTCGACGATTGGCTTATAAAGCAATGAAAACTCCTTCAGAGTTAAATTCAGCCCGCCCGCATTATTCAGGGCCTTTCTTTGAGTGTAGGTACAATTATGTAAACCAAAGTAATTGATGTATCTAGGGATTGACGATTTTGTGGATTTCTCCCAAATAAACTCTTGTAGTTTGCTTGTTTATAAACATATTTTGAATAATTTGGAATCTGTATTTATTTTACACTATACTATTTCACTATAAAACAACATAACCTTCGAGTTTAACGTGGTTAACCTGCTTTTTAGTTCTAAATTAGGATTTTAAATACTAATGGTTTGGAATGTCCGATTTTGTGTTGATTTGAATAGGTTTAGGTTGTTTGGTATGAATAAATAATAAAATAGTTAATAAAAGCTCTAATATTACAATCAAGAAAAGATTCTTCAAAGTTTTCGTGGCCAAAAATGTATATCATTGCCGCAATAGGCAATGGACCATGGTAGTTTTAGAGTCCATACAGTTTTAAACGAATATCAACAACGTGTAAATTATAATGTTACGCGGAAGATGATTACGTCGCATCGACTTTGTAATCGTGAAAACTATTGTCTACTTCTAAAAAAATGACACTGGCGTTGATAAGAGAAAAACACTCGTTCCCATGGCCCAATCCTGCTGTTTTGCGAACTCATTCAAGTGTATACACCTATTAGAATGCATACTATGTGGCCAATTTACAGTAAGTACCTTGGGACCGAGCTTTGCTAGGGTAACTTTATTATTATTATCTGAGAGTATTCTTTGGTTAATGTCATCTGACCCAAAGAATCATGAGCGAACGGTAAATAATTTCAAGCTTTAATTTAACATACCTTATGTTACATGCTTAAAAAAAATTGTCTTCATAACAACACTTTATGGTGCATGTGGCTGATTCAATGTAAATATTGATTGAAATCAAATCAAGAGTTATATATATATTATATTTATACTAAATATACTTTAGGATTGGATAATGAGTGGTTTTAACCTTGAAGGATCTCCTGCAGCCCAAACTTTGTGACTTTTGTCGAAGCGACACGCTACGGATTCATGCTAATCCAACCTTTAACCAACTTTACGATATAATCTTTAAAGCTAAACTATTAAGAAAAGTTTACACGTCTTTTTCGTATTCTCCTGTACTTCCTAATGGTAAAACTTTATGTATTATTTTTCAAAGAGACGGGTTAAAAGTTCAATTAATTGCACATAAATAATTGCACCAGTGAATGATCGCACATTATTTAAAAATTTAAATTATAATCTTACCACCAGGATTCACATGTAAAAGCTAAGAACTCTGAATGGAATAGAAATAACCATTTCAAGATCGTTAATACTCTACATAAATTGTAGTAAAGTACCCCTTTTCATCTAGAATATTACCGTAATCTTTAATGGCTACCGGTTCCGACATACTAAGGTGTCATTGTCAAGCCTAGACGTGGTTTTTCGCTCCTAGGAGGTCGTTATAAAGTCTTCAAAAACGCATAACGAGACGAACATATAACAAAAACGAACACATTTTTACGAATAATACTGTATGGCCATACAACTCATGGCGCGGCTGCGGGTTCAGGGTGTAGGTCTAGACTGACCGTCGCCGTGTCCTTCCCCTCCCCTCCTATCCTTTGTTGTTATCAGTGCCATTGTCTTCTGATAAGTTTTTTTATGAATGAGGCTGCATCGTAAATAATGTTTGACTCAAACGATGTTTTTTCATTAAGGATGTGTTGGGGATGTTTCTTGCCGGCCTTGAATATCTCATATTCTTCGATTGTATCCAGGAAACGACCTCTTTTTCTTTTTCTATTATAATGTAATACATTGGCGGATTTGTCAAACCTAAGTGCTATCTAGGGGTGAATAGACGAATGCTATCTAGCGGTGAATAGACGAACTGTTGCGAACCTCGATGTCCGTGCTATCTAGCGGTGAATAGACGAACTGTTGCGAACCTCGATGTCCGTGCTATCTAGCGGTGAATAGACGAACTGTTTCAAACCTCGATGTATGTGATTACCTTGATTTTTTCGTATTTTGTATGTATATGTTGGAAACAAAAAAAATGTTGAAATGAAACAGATTTTGATTTGATTTTATTGAAGTGCTATCCAGCAGAGAACATACTAACTGTTGCGAAATGTGATGTTAGAGTTGGTTCTCACAGGAATCTTGTGTCACGCACGCAGCATATATACAAAGCAGAGTCTAACGTCTATCGGGTGGACCGATGCTTCTAGGTGTCTGCCTGTCTCAGTGTACAGTGTTTACGTAAAGTAGACCTTAAACCTTCCATCTCAGAAGCGGACTACGTAAAGTAGACCCTTAACGTACACATCAGAAGCGGACTACTAAAGTAGACCCTTAAACTTGCACCTCAGAAGCGGCCTTTGTTCACCTTTTGCCACTTAAAATAGTTTTATTACTTATTTATTTTTACCAGAACTATTTTCATGCATTGAAAAATAATATTATGTTCATTCAATCACGTAATATTATTTTTACGTGTAACTATTTCATCCAGCTGATTTAAAGAACAGCATGATTCTCTGTCGCGTTCTCTCCCCGTTACGAAGCACGTAAATAACAGATGTTACGTAAAATAAAAAAAAATGTATACAACGTCAAATGTACAGAATGTACGTGCTTCAGTTGGTAGAGTCTCCAAGAGTGACATAAATCGCAATAAAAATAGGGTTGTAGAAGTTATTGGGAAAATAGTAAATCTTCTTGCTTAAAAACTGCGGGAAAGTACGAATGGCTGTTTGTCTCCCGTCTCCTACCCTCGACAACGACAGATAACGTGCTTAACTTCATGAAGAATAGTGAAGTCCAAAATGCTGAATGTGTTGAACTGAAGACAAAGCATCCAACCTACAAGTCTTTCAAAGTGGGAATTGACGAAAGTTCGCTGGATAAAGTCCTAACTCCCGAGTTTTGGCCTGAGGGAATTTATGTGAGGAAATACATAGCAAACAGACACCGGAAGGAGAGACAGCAAGGTAGGCCTACCATTGACTCGAATGCTTTTTTAGAGAGGCAACCCCAAAACACGAGGCAAGGAAGGTGCAATCGGTAAGTGTTTGTAGACCTATACAAGACGTAGATATAATCCTATCTGATAATGAAATTGACTTAAGGTCCAGTACCTCTGATGTAAAGTTGACAATTGGACATTTAAATGTCCAATGCTTGCGAAATAAATTTGACTCTGTGAGTATACTTTGTAGAGATGAGGATATTGACATTTTGAGTGTTTCTGAACACTGGTTAGCAAACAGTGAGGTACAATTTTACAGTAAACTGGAAAACCTGGACTTGGCCACTAGTTTTTGTAGGTCTGTATTTAAAAATGGTGGCTTCGCTTTATACTTAAGAAATAGCCTAGAATATGAAATTATTGACCTAAAAAAGTTTTGCATAGAAAAGTCTTGTGAATTAGTAGCAGTGCACCTCACATAGTCAAATCTGGTTGTAGCCTCACTGTACAGGTCACCTGACAAAATGAACTTCACTGATTTCTGTGATAAGCTAGAAAGCTCGTTGTTGTATCTGTCATCTTTGTGTGTAAATGTCATTATGTGTGGAGATTTTAATGTAAATGTCCTAGATTCTTCTTGTGATGAAGACTTCTTTAGGAATCTAATAAGCCAGTGTGGATTTTTTATAACAAACACCCTGCCAACTCGAGGGATGTCGTGTATTGACAATATTTTAACTAATATGGACCAGAGTAATTATGTGACAAGGGTAGTCATACCCATGATTTCTGATCATGACGCCATCCTAATGGATGTAACACCTCAATCTGTGACTAGTACCCCGCCTCATGCGTGGATGAAAAATTATAAGTGCGACATACGCACTGGCTTGAATGACCCCTTACGGATTCTTCGCTTTAAGACTGCTCTAAATGAAATTGCCTGGGATGACATAATAGCTAGTAGACCACAGGGTGAGAGTTGTTTCGATTCCTTTTTTAGCCACCTTCAGGAAGCCCTGGATACAGTGTTCCCAGTAAAGGAGAAGCGAGCAGCAACCCTGAGTAAGGCGGGTAGGCCTAAACCAAAGAAAAGCGTAGGACCTCGCATATCCGATTGGTACACTCCAACTCTTAGTAGACTCAAGGAGTTCATGCTGATGCTACGTGCCAGGGGAGACGAGGCTAGGTATCTGTTAGCTAAGAAGCTGTATAATAAAAGGGTTGAAGAGGCGAAAAGAGCAGGTAATGTCAAATTCATCGAAAATTCCAACAACCAATGTAAAGCTGCCTGGGATGTCATAAACTCAGTCAAGCCGCCCACACCAGGAATGCGCTGTGCTGCAAGTCCCGATGAATTTAACAACTTCTTTATTTCATCAGTCTCAGACATAGTTACCAGTATCCCTGATGCTCCCTCTGACCCTTTGGACATTTTGAAAGATCGGATGCCGGAGTTTCAGCCCGACCTTAGTAAGACCGTATGGACTAAAGTAAATGAAGAAAAGGTCCGGAAGATTATAAGTGGGCTTAAGAGCACCGTGAGCCGCGATTACTATGGGTGGTCTACCAAGTTCCTTAAGGAAGTAGCGGATGTCATCATTGCACCCCTCACCCTAGCTATAAATGACAGCCTGCAGCAGGGTTTTTTTCCGGCACTCATGAAGATCGCACGGACAGTGCCTATATACAAAAAGGGAGACCCCAACATTCTGGCTAGCTATAGGCCTATCTCTTTGGTACCTGTCCTCGGCAAGGTTCTCGAGATAGTAATAAAGGAACAAACCTGCAATTACTTTGAGTCAAACAACCTTTTTAGTGACTCGCAGCACGGTTTTCGGAGGGGCAGGTCTACTACTGGAGCAGTTTCAGTCATTGCTGATGAAATCGCAAACGCTTTTGAAGACAGCGAGTCAGTATCTCTACACTGTGTGATCTGAGTCGAGCGTTTGACTGTGTTCCTCATGGAATCCTTGTTGATAAGCTTTTCGCTTTTGGTGTCAGAGGTAAAGCTCTCTCCATGCTTAGTAGCTACTTAAGTGACAGAAGACAAGTGGTTGACTTAAAGGGTGCAAAATCCGCAGAAAGGGAGGTTCTGCACGGAGTCCCTCAGGGCTCAGTTCTCGGGCCACTTCTCTTCCTGATTGCTATTAACGACTTGGGGTGGCATGGAAATCTTGTACTGCTTGCTGACGATACTACCTTGTATACCAGAGGGAAAACACCGCTCCTTGCAGAGGAACTGGCGAAAAATAATCTGAAAGATGCGGAGCTGTGGTTCAGGGCAAACAAACTGCAACTAAATGAGACCAAGACAAACTGGTTGTCTTGCACTCTGTCACGCACCCCAAACAACATCGGTGGGAGTGTTAACTATTGGGTTTCTACCTTGACTCAACACTGGACTGGAGCGATCACGTCAAACATGTATGCACTAAGCTGGCTCGTGTCATATTTCTACTGAGGAGATTGAAGAAGTGTGTTACAGATTCCTACCTGGTTATGGTGTACTATGCTATGTTTCATTGTCACATCTCTTATGGCATACATCTCTGGGGACACGCTGCTGGGGCAGCCAGAGTTTTGAAGCTCCAGAAGAAAGCTGTGCGCATTATAACAAGCAGCCATCGCCATGAGCATAGCAAACCCATCTTTAAAAACCTGGGCATCTTGACCATCTATAGCCACTACATATGGGCATGCATGCAGGAAATCAAGAACAATGAACTGGGCCTGGTGGCCAGGGCTGACATTCACAACTACAATACAAGAGGCCGAAATCAACTAGATGTTCCTCGCACTCGCCTCAGTAGAAATAGGGACTCATTCCCTGGAAGCGCCATCCGTTTCTTCAACAAACTCCCAGCTGCCACTAAGACCCTCGCCAGCAGAAAGTTTAAAACCACCACAGGAAATTTTTTCCGTAAAAATCCCTACTTCTCAACAAAGGAATTCCTGGAAGGTAGTTTAGATGAGCTGAAGTAGAACATAGCGACCGCCATGAGTACTAAAATTATGTTTTTTTACATATTTTAAACTTGTGAGTCTTATACATATGTGCGGAAATAAATAAGTAGTTTTTTACGCAGACACAGCCTATTCCCATTATACGATGGGTCAACGGCCAAGAAGATGGTAATAAGGTAATAAGGTAATGTAATAAATCTTATGTTATGTCTTGATCAGCATTGTACGTGTTATTAAATTTACTAAAAGTAAACAAAAATGTGGTAAGTACCTAGGGACCGATTTCGATTGTTATTAAACGTGCGGGTTAAAAGTGTTATTATACGCATTTTTATTTACTTTCTGTAAAATGTGCATTATCAAAGTATCGCATTATTACATTTAATTTTACAATAAAAATATTACATTTATCGAAGATTATAAAAATTAAATGAAATATTATAAATTCCCGTGTATAACTATTTAATGTAAGCACGCTAAATGCACGGGACTTTGTTTCCAGTAAGGCTGGTTTTAATACCTATCCTGCATTTTATGCCTTTAAAAACACCTTTCTTGGCGTTTATAGACAAAACTTGAAGACCGTAATTTGAAATTTGATCATGATTTGAATCTACATCATAATTTGAGAAGAATGCCGAAAAGCAATGCTAATCGGAATACCCAAGAGTACATAACTAATCTAGAGGTTAAATACCTTGTTGCTAATGTAATACTTGGTAGACTTAAGCAGCAGTCAAATTGTGGTTATAGTGTATTCAAACGATTTCTGATGAGACCTTACGTTTCATAGTACAGTACTTCAATCGGTCAGAAAATAATTGTTCAAAACTTGAAACCTTCCGAATTGTTCATAATGATCGAAATGTTAATGATCGAACCAGCCATTCACTGTTTATACTCCAAGTTGTGATCCAGTAAATGACTGGCTGTTTGAATAATTGTTGATTAGGATTTTGATCTTAAAACGAGTCGAGAATTTTACCGCTCAGTGAATTGTAGATAATACATTGCAGTTTCAATCAATAATATAAGAACCATGGCAAATTACAACCAACAATGTGTGTGCGAGACGCTATAGTACTATAAATGACGTCTAAAAGAAATATGTTTTATTCCAATGTTTAGATTATAGTACATTCTCTGGTGCAACTAAATATATTATTTGGACACTACATCTGTTAACTCGGTAGGGTCATCAATGTTTTTAATTCTCATTCTTTTGAGATTAAAATTTCCATAGATTTTAAACGCCAAAATGTGGCTATTAATATAATGAAGGAATTTTACATAATTTCTGCCTAAGAATTTTATATAGTTTTACTAGCATGATTTTTTACAATATAAAACATTATTTTTAATTGAATTTGGTAACATAATGTAATTTGATTTTTACACAATCTTGAAAGTACTCTTTTATTTATTGCATCCATATCTTCTTCGATATAATTGTTCTTTCTTAAGATAACTTGTTTGTCATATAACATTGTACAATTTTATAACATTTACTGTAAGAAGGAAACAGCATCACTCGAATCCACAGATTACCCAACATTCGTTAACCTTTTATTTTCAATATTATAGTTATTCTACAGAAGTAAGCTATCTTTATCTGAATTGCTCACTATTTCTTTTCTTTGGTAGTAAAACCTATACTGTACAGCCTACAAACTTATCAACTCGATTTCATTTTCTTGAAAGCTTAACTACTGTAGTTAAAATTAATAATTTATAAATTAAAAATTATCCGTCTTTAAGGATGGGGATGGATAATTTTAATTAGTGACGTAATATATTTAGCAGATGAATGTAATTGTAATATAAAATCATAAACTGGATTATTGGTAAATAACACACTAAACAAATGGTGTGTCTAGAAAATGCATATTTATTTACATGCAGGAGAACCTTGATAACAAGACTCTCATGGGGATTGTAAAATAAGACTTGTTTTCAAGGTAGACTTCTTATTGAGGTTTGTAATAACATGTGATTAAGGGCAAAATAATTTTAAGGGGATTTTAAAATGACACTTTTTATCAAGGGCTACTTGTTATCGAGGGTCTTCTTATCAAGGTTCCACTGTATTTACTATAAAACATACGTAGGGGTAGGAGGATTATAAAATAAAAATAAAATATTAATAAAATAAAATATGCATACTTCATCATTTAATTTTCATGCATTCATATTAAAGCAACTACAATTTAACATTGTAGGTATTAAATGTATGTAAAACATCAGTCGCTTTCAATTATGACTTATTTATATTCTCGAAAACGTAATTGACAGTGTTGTTAACCAACCGTTTTATAGCTTTCCTTACAAAAACTAACAGAACTCCAAGTTTTTAATAACAAAAAGCTAAAATAGAAGGAAACATTCGTCGGAAAACAATTGTTCACAACATTACACACGTTACTGGAATTTAAAATGATACCAATATGACATCATTATAAACCTAAGACCCGATTGGAATAGACAGAAACAAATATTTATGTACACTATACATACCCTGAGAAAATAAATCACAACTGAAATTGGTTTCCTGTATTCAAAAAACTAATTTAGATTGCTTAAAACTGTTTATTGTAAATTGAAACAAACTACATTTGGCATTAGCCTTTCCTACAAAATGACCACTGATCAATACACTGGAAAGTTCAGTTACACATGTCATATTTGTCCCATACTTGCATTATATTCGTGACATATTACGGTTAAACATTTTACAAATTAATACCTGGGGACCAAGCTTTGCTCGGGAAAATCATTAGTATACTCTGAGAGCAGTCTTTGGCCAATAGAATTTATCCAAATCTTCTTTTGCGGTCCATTTAATCCAGCAGATCAGTATTGCAAGCGAATTTCACTATAAAGCAGTAGCTATTAGCGTAAGTGGCATGGCGGCACGTATCTAGACCCGGGACCAATTTAATTTTACGTTTTTATGTCCCCAGAGGCCAAACCACTATTAGTTTCAATTGTTTTGTACACTATACTCTATTATGAGCTGTCTTTTGTGTGTTTGTGGAATTGTTAAAGTTATCTCTAAATTCAACGGAAGGTTTAGGACTAAAGTTTGGAATTAGGGATGTATGTATGTTCTCTATTCGTATATCTCAATCAATTTGAAAATATTTACATCTGCTGCATTGTCTACAGCATCATAGCCCCTGTTGCCTACTGAAGTGACGGAAAAGACATTGGGCTTCTAATCCACAGATTGTGGGTTAGAGTCCCACCAGGAATATATATTTTTTTTAATCCAAGACAGTTTTTGTACATAACAGAGGATATGAAATACCAAATTAGGCAATTAAAAAGCTACCCAGCACTGAAAGGTATAAACTCCATGGTTAAATGTAGGAACTTGGACAAATTCCCAATGAGGTTATTTTGATTTTAAGAAAGGTATTCCCGATATAATTTCAAAACTCACACATAGTTTTCCCTAGCCTTTGGCCACCCTGTTTACGTGAGTTACTGCAAGAAAACCTACTTAATTGTAAAAAAATAACAGGTGTTTTCGCAACATATTAAAACTTTAAATAAATAATCCTGACTAATGAAACCGATTATCTTAGTCAGTAACAAAGCTACACAGGTCATCACACACCATTCTACATCATCCTTCACTCATATTTGGGTTAAAATACACACCTAGGTGGCGTCCCCATCTCAATGATTGATAATTGACAATTGAACTGATTTTCAAACAATTTACTTGTCTTTTTCTTAAGTCATAAAATGAGGTTATTAACCTGTCGTCAATCAGTTCTATATTGTTGTGGATAACTATAGTTTCGGGGTTAAAATCCCATTTTCAAATATTTCTCTTCTTGCGTCTTAATCGTCCATGTCTTAATCATACCATGATATAACTATTACCACTGTCAAAATCTTTTCTTTGCAAGAAAACGTCCGGAGATAGCCCAGTTTTCTTTTACTAAAACTTATATCTTGAAATGTG